ACTTTCCGATCTGGTTTGTCCTCTTCCAACACCACTTCGATTACTACATCCTCCTTTTCTTGTCCACTAGGAAATTTCGATATTGGTCCCTCTTTTGCGGGCTTTGTTAATTGCTATTGGATCTTCAAACGGTGGCTAGCTAGATAACACGTCCGTGAAGCTTCTTGATCTCCTCGAATTGTTTCCACTCCACTTGATGTTGGAAATTTGACACATTGATGATATGTAGAGGGGACTGCTTTCATTTGATAAATCCAGGGAGTCCCGAGGATGATGTTGTAAGCTGCGGGCTTATCGAAGACAACGAAGTCCACGATCTTCGATACCTTTTTGGCAAGGACCGGTAGCTTGATTGTTCCGAGAGACATGGCTGACTCGCTTGTGAACGCAACTAATGGTGATGGAGGTCCTACTATGTCCGCTCGGCTAATTCCCATTCTTTCTAAAGTACTTAAAAAGATCAAGTCGACCGAACTGCATGTATCGATAAGGATCCTTGACACTTCGAAGTTGGCAACATCAAGGGTAATGACTAGAGCATCATCATGAGGTTTTTCGAGGTGCCGCGTTTCCTCTTCATTAAATGTTATTGATGCACCCTGAAAATCCACTTCTTCGCCCAAACTTGTTTTGAGTAAGACATTTCGCCTATGTTTCTTGATGGAACTTATCTTCATGGAACTTATCGAATCTCGGCAAAGTTTGGAACCTCCTAGAATCACATTGATCTTACCCTTCGAACTCCTTGGTTCTTCCTCACTGGAAAACCTTGGTCTTTTAGAATTTTGATCTTTGGAGTTATCCCTTGCCTCGTGGTATTCCTTCACGAAATCTTTTATGTCGAATTTAGAAAGATCTCCGCTGGCCCAAAGCTCTGCGAGGTGCCTTTTAAGGACACTACAATCCTTGGTTAAATGTCCGGTTACTTTATGAATGTCGCAAAATAGACTTTCATCACGGACCCAAGTATTTGATCTTCCTTTCCCTTGGAATTGCTTTCCAACGGTACTGTTGAAAGGTTGCGATCCAAATTTTCTTGGTCCTTTGCTCTCCCTAGGCTCGAACTTCTTGGTAGGGACGGTGACTGCCGGCTTTTCTTGTTTATTTCTTTTGGCAAAATTTTCTTTCTCGTCCTCTACTTCCATCCAATTGTTTGCGCGGAAGAGTGCATCCTGAATTGTGTCTGGTTTATGAAGTATTAAATCTTCTTTAAACCTTGAATCATGTCGCAATCCTTTTCGTAGGGCAGATAAAGCTGATTGCTGTGAGATTCTTGGGAGCTTCGACAGCACTCCTTTGAACTTGGTGATGAAAACTCGAAGTGACTCATTTGATCCTTGCGATAAGTTCCAAAGATCGGCATTCGAAACGCTTTTATCCATAAGGATGGAATATTGCTTTAAGAACACGGCTGATAGTTCGTCGAAATTGCTGATCGAACCCGGCTCTAATTGGGTGAACCACATTAGAGCTTGGCCACATAGATTTTCCGAAAAAAGCTTGCAGTAACCTGCGTCCTCATCAGCTTCATCCAGTTCGACTCTTCCAGTAGCGATCAGAAAAGCTGCGAGATAGCTCTTTGGATCTTCCAATCCGCTGTAAGGGTCCAACTTGAGCTTCCGGGAATCTTTGATTCTCAAACTTGCAATTCGCGAGATGAAAGGTGTTCGCCTAGCTTCTTCAATGACTCGGTTGATGTCTGGCTCCGAACTTGTAGCTTGATGAAACTTGGATTTCATTTCTTTTAACTCCTGGCTAACCTTCCTCATGGTCTCGAACTGGTCGAGGCTTTCCTGCTCGTATTGATCTGCAAGTTGATCTTCATCTTCGACATGTGTCTCCCCTTCCAACGGTTGAACTACCGTATTAATAGCACCAGGGGTCGTTTGTCCACTGGTTTCATTTCGCGCAGCAGAACTTGGCGAGTTGGATACCCTTCTCCGGATTCCCACAGGGTTTCCTGCACTTAAAGAGCGAACACGAGTTTGTATAGTACTGACGTTTTGACTAAGAGATACCTGGGATGTTTGCAACGTGTCGACGGCTTTTTCCACATTCGAGAATTTCTGAGACATTTCCGACATGGTTTGTTGCATGGCTTTGAGGGTTTCGGCCAATGATAACTCAGTGGCGTCTCCTCCGGACATTGCTGCTTATATCGGAAATGTAGTAAAGAAAAAATCTGACCACTCAAGAATCTTCTGTCCCCACAGGCGGCGCCAAAATGTGGATGTCGGATTCACACACTCAAGTATTTTTATTAAGTAGGAAAGATTACTCTTGAGAGACAAAAAATGAATATGTAAAAAGCTTATGAATTGCTACAAAAATTGCTATAGTATTTCTTACTCGAGAGGAAGATCCCCTTTTCCATGGCCATTGGCCCTTATATTTATACATAGAAAAACGACATTTAAATGGCTAATTAAATATAATTATTCTCTCTTAAATGTGTCCGTTTTGGTCTTTGACTTTAATGCTCAACGTTCGAATTTTGAGTTGACTCCATTCTTCATGGGCCTCGCCTTTTGGCCCAAATGACCTTGAACCGACTTAACCGTGACTTCGACGCTGGACTCATGTCGAAGTGCAGTCACTTCGGATTCTCCTTGTGGTGATAACCACTTCGACTGTTCCTTTGGCTCACGGATCCAACGGGCTTTATCCTTTATGGGCATTTATCTTGACTACGTGGCAATCTTTGGTTGGTCTCGGACTTCTGGTGCGGGATCCGACACCAACATTCATGAATATAAATTCTAGTATTGTTGAATATGTTATGACACATCAATTTTAAATTTGGTGTTATTATAGAACATATTACATACAATGACACGATTTCCATCTTTTTTTTTCTTGAGAATATTAATTCCGACCATCGCAATAAGAGAATCAAGCTAAAGACACTATCTCCTTTTTACTTTAGATGTTTGATTATTTTTTATATACTAGATTTTAACCCGCGGTACACCGCAGGGCTATAAATTTTTTGAAAATTATCTATTGCTCTGTTTGATTTAAATGTACTTATTATATATATTACCCCGCATTAAACCCGCGGATCGATTTTTGATAACTAAAAATTGAAATTTTAAGTTGAATTTATTTTGTTTAGCATTTATTGTATTTTGATAGTTAATTATACGATTTCATTCGTAGTACCGCCTCGTAATAATATTGATTCAAACCCGTCATACCATATAACCCTGTCCCGTGAAATTAAACATTATTTTGTTATTGTTTTTATAATGTTTTAATTTAAAAGACATATATAATTTGAGTCAATTTAAAAGTTTGCTTTAAATGGCTCCCATAATATATATATTTTTAATTGTTATAGAGTTCAAATATCATTAATATTATAAACTTTTTATAAAATTTAAATATTATTAATACTTTAAACGTTTTATCATCTTAAAATATTTACAATGTTTAAACTTCTTATAAATTCTTAGAAAGTTTAAATATTTATAATACTTGAAACTTCATAAAAGTTTTAAGGGGCTTTTGCAAAAATGCCACTTTTTCAATGCCACTTTTCAAAAATACCCCTTTTTTAAAACCTTATAAAAAATGCTCTTAAAAATATAAGATTTACCCAAATATGTATGTAATATTATTAAAACATACACAAACTACATTTCTATGTATCTAAAATCTTATAAATACTTTATAAAAACCTTATAAATGCATTTTAAATACCTTTAAAAACCTTTAAAATATCTTGTAAAACCTTTGAAAAACCTTAAAAATCCTTTAAAATAACTTGTAAAACCTTTAAAAACACCTTATAAAACCTTATAAATACTTGGATCGAGTCTTCAAGTAGTAGTTACAATCCATAAGTACCTTATAAACCTAATAAAACTTTATAAAAATTTCAGATTTAAAAAGGGGCATTTTTGAAAATGGACATCTAAAAGGGGCATTTTTGAAAAAGGGCACACCAAAAGGGGTATTTTTAACAATTTCCCAAGTTTTAATATCGACCCAAACTTCATAATTGTATTTTGGTTGTTAATTCTAAGATTCCACTCGTAGTATATCGTTCTGTATTAATATCGACACAAACCCGTCACACCATATAATCCCGTCCCGTTAAATTAAACATCATGTTATTTTTCTTTTTAATAATAATTTTATTTAGAAGACATATAATTAGAGTTCATTTAAAAGTTTGTTTTTAAATTGTCTCTATAGTATATATATTTATAATTTTTATAGAGTTCAAATGTTATTAATAGATAAAGTTTTTTATAGAATTGAAATATTACAGATACTTTTAAAGTTTATAAAATTTAAATATTTATAATATTTAAATTTCTATAAGTTTAAAATTAATAATATTTAAAATTCTTATAAAGTTAAAATATTCATAATATTTGAAACCTTATGAAATAACAATAATCTAAAATAACATATTATTCCGTAGACATAAATAATATTTATATATTTGGTAATAATGTTTTTTTGGAGTTAATCTAATTTATAACTAAACAAATTATTTATAGCCAAAATGAGTTTGGTTTATAATAAGTAATATAGCAAAATGAGTTTGTCAAATAACGAATAGTAACCATAATTTAATTAATGTACATTAAAATAAATATATTTAAAAAATGAATTACTTAAAAAAATTGATTTTGTCAAAATTAATTAATATCTGTAAGATATTATGGAAATGATTAGTTATGGTTAAGATATTATGTTAAGATTTTTTGGTAATTAATATTTTTGATTTAAATTTTCGAAATTAAATAATTAATGCTAATGGCATGCCATTGTAAATACTTCTCAACTTCATGATTTATTTGCTAATTGTGATCAAAAAAATGTATATATATATATATATATATATATAATATATATATATAGATTCATGTATATTTATTTGATTTTTAAAAGTATGCAATGTTTTAACGAAATAATATTTTGTAATACAAATATCAAATTAATTTTCTTTAACTCTCTCTTACCTCCAAAGATGATATCATTAGAAGGAGACGGTCAGACGACGATGCCGATTGCGCTGCCGATTCAAAGCAAAGAGGCTTTGGATAATAATTTTCGTCAGAGGTCGAAATGTATGAAACGAGTGAAGAAATACGAGGTAATTTTTCATCTTCTTATATATTGTAAGAGATTTGTTTTTCAATCGGTTATCGATAGAGATTAGGGTTTTAATAAGAATGGATTTTAGGGATTCGATACCACTGACGCGAGATATGGTCCTGAACTTCAAAAATCCATCTGTGATGAAAGGTGGTCACCATGTTGTACCTTAGTCCGCCTTTATGCTAGGATGGGCCTTCATCGTTACAATTTGCTTCAGGTTATTCTAAATCAATACTCTTCTCTTTTCTTTCTTTCTTTATGTCTTGTTATCTTGCACCACAATTCAATTTCTTTTGTTTGTTCATCAGGGTAAGAATTTACAGCTCAATCGCGTAAAGAAATACAATATGAGTACGCATTCTGCTGCTTGCAATTACTACATTACTTTGGTTGCTATGGATCCTGCTCGCAGCAAACTTTTAAATTTCCAGACTAAAGTTGGTGAAGAACGGTTTGGCAAGTTTATTTTGACGTCCGATATTGCTAGACCTCGAGGGGAAAACACTGAGGATGGATCGTTGATAACTGAACACTATTTCTACGTCAAAGGTAGCTTGCCTACGTGCCCCCCGGAGGATCTTTTCCAAAATAGTAACCGGTTTTACGTGGTGGAGGAATCAGAGCTGCAAGTCAATGACTGGATTCGTCTCTATTTGGAACTTGCAGTTGCCACAACTCATAGGAGCACTGGTAGAAATCATGATCTATCCGGCTTGAAGATTATGAAAGTGGCCATAGATACTTGTGAAGATGTACCTAATGAGGCATCACAACAATGCCATTAATGCGATTGTCTACATAAGGTACAAGGACTTTTGTGAGTCTCGGGTTGGTAAGGATGTTGATCGCATAGCTATTGTTAAACGAAGCTTCAATGAGCGTAATGGATGCTTCATTCTCGAGGGTCAGAATGAGGTTATCAAATCCTAGGTGGCCCATGGCATTCAAAAGCTGTAGCTTTGGCTTGGCTCGTCCTCTGCACAAGAAAATATGGATCTTATAAATAAACTATTAATGGTCAAATAAGTTACTTTTTTCCGTTTGGATTGTTAAGGTAACTTCCGTGGTGGGGTGTCTTGTTTTCGAAATCTCCCTCTCCTTGTATAATTTAACATAGGGAAAACCCCGCTTTATTTGATATTTGCAAGAAAAACTACTTGAACTTTGCATAAATTTCCATTCCCTCTATATGTGATGTGGTGTCTTGAACTTTAGGTAATTTCTGTGGTATGGTGTCTTGTTTATTTATTTTCCTGCACAAATTTCTATCTCGGGTTGGTAAAAGGATGTTGATTGCATAGCTATAGTTAGAAGAACACCTTCATTGCCCATATGAGGTGCTTCATTATTGAGGGTCGGAATCAGAGTTCAGAGATTATACCAAAACAAGAGGAAGACGCAGAATGCAAAACTTTTGGTTAGCCGGTGTTTAGGCGTCCGTCCACAAATCGTTGTGGTTATCAAATCCTAGGAGGCACATTATTGCATACGAAAACTGTGGTGTTGGCTTCTGCACAAGAGAAGATCCATTTGAAACTATCGATCAGATAGATATAATATATTTTACTTTGTCACAAAATGAGTGGAATAAAAATTAAATCCCTAAAACTTTGTAAAAAAATGTGGACATACTGTTGTAATTCATAACATCGTTAAACTGACATATCGTCGAACAGATAGAGGGCAATACAAGATTTATATATCGATCATTGCCTCCAAACTCGGAGATTTCACTTTTCTTTGATTCCAAAATCTTCTTCAGATAGTTCCGAGATCAAGAGTTTTTAGCTGCATCGAAAACCCACTTAATCTCTTCTTCTCTAAAGCATCTATGGAGATCTCCGGCGAAGAAGACAAAGAAGAAGCTGTTACTCTCCCCAAAGAAGTAAGCAATGTCTCAATCTCAGATGGTAACAAGTTCGTATACCAAATCCTCAATGGTCCTAACGAACCATGTTTTGAGAATTTCCGAATGGATAAGCCTGTCTTCTATAAACTCTGTGATCTTCTTCAAACCAGAGGCTTGTTGCGTCATACGAATCGAATCAAGATTGAGGAACAGTTAGCTATCTTTTTGTTCATCATTGGTCATAACCTTCGAACTCGAGCTGTTCAAGAATTGTTCTGTTACTCTGGTGAAACCATAAGCCGCCATTTTAACAATGTTTTGAATGCTGTTATTGCAATCTCTATGGATTTTTTTCAATCCAATCCAAATTCTGAAGCTTTAGAGAATGATGATCCTTATTTCAAAGACTGTGTTGGTGTTGTTGATAGCTTTCATATTCCGGTTATGGTTGGTGTCGATGAGCAAGGTCCGTTTCGAAACAGCAATGGACTTCTTACTCAGAATGTTCTTGCAGCTTCTTCGTTCGATCTTAGATTCCGCTACGTGTTAGCTGGTTGGGAAGGTTCAGCTTCTGATCAACAAGTTCTCAAAGCAGCTTTGACTCGGCGTAACAAGTTACAAGTTCCTCAAGGAAAATACTACATTGTTGACGGTAAGTACCCGAATCTTCCAGGCTTTATCGCGCCGTATCACGGTGTTTCAGCCAACGCAAGAGAAGAAGCAAAGGAAATGTTCAATGAGCGACACAAGTTGTTGCATCGAGCTATTCATCGGAGTTTTGGAGCTTTGAAAGAACGGTTTCCGATTCTACTATCAGCTCCTCCGTATCCTCTACAAACGCAAGTGAAACTGGTGATTGCGGCGTGTGCATTGCACAACTACATCCGCTTGGAGAAACCAGATGATGTAGTGTTTAGGATGTTTGAAGAAGAGACAATGGCAGAAGCAGGAGAAGACAGAGGAGTGGCATTAGAGGAGGAACAAGGAGAGATAGAGGGACATGAACATGGGTTTAGACCGGAAGAAGTTGAAGATAGTTTAAGGTTAAGAGATGAGATTGCTTCTAATCTTTGGGACCATTATGTCCAAAACCTGTCTACCTTCTAAACTTTAGCTTCTTTATCAGTTTTTTTTTTGTGTGTTTTGATTTGTTAGAAATGATATAAGTCAAATAACACTAATTATGTTTGTTAAGTAAAAAAAATCCTTTACATCAAATTCAAATGTATCCAAACACCAAATGTATATCACACCGATCTCAGGGAAGAGAAGACCAAAAGGAGAGTAAATATCAAAACCAGAGCTTTTGAATCAGGAGCTGATCACTGCTTTTTGCTTTTTCGTAATCCATTTTCGCTTTGCGTTCTCTATAGCATCCTCTTTCAGTTTCAGCAGATCTTGGAAGGACTGGTTAAATTGTGACTCGATCAGATTAAGTTCTGTCTTGAGATCTTCTGGGTAATCATTGTCTGAAATGGAAAGATTGTAAATGGTTGACATCATTGAGCAAGAATCCAGATACGAGCTCATCGACTCTGCATCTCGACCAGCTTCCGTGGCAGCATTTCCGTTGTTTGAGGAGTAGGGAAAGTAGTAGTCTGCTGATATGTCCGACTTCATTGATTGTCCTGCAGCTTCTTCATCTTTCGAGTTCACAGTTTTCTGATTTGCTGCTTCATGATCCTCATCATGGGTTAGACGTGGAGAGTTTTGATTATGATGCGACGAGGTCCGGTCAGAGTGAAGTTGCATTATCAAGTCATCGATCATATCAGCTATCACAATAACCTCTTGGCTATTTAAATGCAGTTCCTCAACCATTTCCTCAGCGATTGCTGTTGCTGTGTCTGAATCCAGATAGAATGCAAAGTGTACGATTCTACATTTACCTGTATTAGGGCATTGAATTGATTCAGTAAATGAAATCTGTGAGAGGAATGAATTGGATAGAAGATTTTATTTTATAAGACGAACCAGACGGGTCAGCAATACGGAGAACCATAGACGCTGTGACATCATCGCTCCTCTCTCCTCTCAACCTGAACTCTTTATTCTCTGCAATCCTCTGAAGTTCAATGGTTTGGGACCATGGGTAGTCTTCGTTGCTTGAAACACTTTTATTCTCGTTATGATCCACATCCATGGGAAGATGTTCAAGCTGTGGTGGTCTCACAGATTTAGATGATGTGCTTGATGAAGCAAGGAGAGCAGAGTCCTTGCCTACATCTCTTGCAAGGAATGGGTCCTTTGAGAGCTCGACGGCAGTTGGTCTGGAAGAGGCAGGAAGAAGACATCTCTCTATGAATTGCCTAACTTGATGATCATCAACTTTACCGAGAGACTGAGGCTTTATGTTCTGCAAATGCAAAGTTTCAAAGGGGAGCCCAGCTTCAAAGATAATTTTGATGAAAGTCAAGATTGTGAAAGACTTACCGAGGTGACCTTTTTATAAATTTGAGCCTGGTTTCTGCACTCATTGTATGGATATTCACAGGTTACCATCTCCAACATACACATGCCAAAAGAATAGATGTCCACAAGCTCATTGTATTCCTCTTCATACAGCTCAGGCGCCATGAATTCAGGAGTACCTGAATACGCTCAAAATTTCAGTTACAGCAGATTTTCCAGGGTCTAGGAAGGAAGATGTTTTATGGTGTATTACCTATCACACTTCGAGCAGTGGATTGCTGCAGTACAGTTGCAAGCCCGAGATCTCCAATTTTGACCTCTCCAGTATTTCCATTGACAAATATATTGTCACACTTTAGATCCCGGTGAATTACCGGAGGGTTCTGAGAATGCAAATACTGTAGGCCTTTGAGAATCTGCCTTGCCCAGTTCTTGATGGCCTTGGGATCGACCTTCCTATGCTTCTTACGATATCTTCACATCAAATGAAAAGGTGTCAAACCATGTGATGCACAAAAAAAAAAATGAAGGATAATCAAACAGAAGAGAAGTGATGAGATACTTACACCCTCAGACTACCAGAGGTGAAAAGCTCAGTGATCATGTTAATAGTCTTGTTCTTTTCGTCAACCCAGGAGTAAAAGAGTTTGATAATGTTTTCATGTTTTAGAGCTTTTAGTAAATGGACTTCAGAATATAGCCTTTCAAGTTGACCAGGCATCTGCATTACATCTTCAATGCTAACTAGGTTCCAAGCAACCTCAATCCCGTCTACTTCGTCAAACGCCTTATATCTGATTTTATACGAGATTTAACAAACAAATCAGAATCATTTTTCTTTGGAACTTAAACATAAAAGCATAATAGGGTGTAGAAACCATACACAGTCTTGAAAGCTCCTCTCCCCAGAACATCATCATACTGAAGAACAAAATAAAACAAAGGAATCGCAATCAATATATTGTTTTCCACCATAAATACTCAAAAAATCAGCAATGCAACATGATCTTAAGCTTGATTGTTCCAAATGTATAACAATGAACAAAACACACATTGCTATAAGCCAATAATAATCACCATACGATCAAAGTAACAGCTCTCACTAGGTAGAACTACAGAGAGAAGTCATCCGAACTAGGTCAAAATGCTCAAATTCTGATCGATTTCGTCATAATTCAACGATTAAAAACTCAACCAAACGAGATTGAATCAACGAAGAGAAAATTGCAACGGTGACGTACCCTGATGTAACGGCCAGAAGGATCTTTCTCGGCGAAATCAGCCTCTTCCATGGACGATATCTGACCTAAAAATCCAGAACCAGAAGCCATATATGTATGCACAACAAACAAACCAATCGAAAACAGAAGAAGAAGAAGAAGAAAAAAGTGGAGAATTCGAGGTGAGATTGAAAACGAAAGAAAGAAAGAAAGCTGAAGAGGTTATTACAAGAAAAGGTTATAAGAAGAAGAAATTGACGGAGGAGACGGGGACGATACAATCGGAGAAAGCCTCACGAGCGAAGCAATAAGAATCGATTGAAGATCGAAATCGTGATCGGAATCGGAGTTTGGCGGCGAAAGGAATCCCCATAATCTCCGATTTTCCGATTTCCCGATCTCTTCTCCCGTCGTGATTCCGTCGCGTCTCTTTTATCCGATCAAATCCTTCCATTGATGATCCACCATGATTTGATTTGGTTTTCCCTCGAAGAATCTGCTAGATATTGAGAAAACCAAGGATGATTGATGATGAAGATGATGAAATCAAAGAAAGGAATTTCGGAGAAATGGAATTAAGAAAAAAAAAAAAAAAATTGTTGGTTGGAAAGTCAAATTATCTGTCTTTATCAACTAACGCACTTTCTCATACGATCCAAAAATAAATATTTTTGAGATTAATCTACTAATGTATCCTCTATTTTCATTTCATTTATCCTCTAAATAATATAAAAATATTATTTATATTTAACTAAAAAATTAACTAATCATAAAAATAAATTTGCATAATATAAATGATCACAAATTATCAAATACATTTAATTTAAATATAAACTAATAAAATATCTTATGATATTAAACAATTTAAAATATCTTTAGAGGGAATACTATTTAAAGATTTTTTTCTGTGCATGGAAATCAAGAAATTGTGGAATTTAAATTCTCTAAGTTTAATAACAGAAATACCTATTTCAAATTTAATGAATCTCGGATAGTATAGCATTAATACGAAATCTAAATCATTTTGTCGTTGAATAATATATTTTGTGTTAAAAGTCCAATTGCTTTGATTGAAGAGAAATGGTTAAAAATTGCCCTTTTTCAATACTTATTTTAAAAAATGCTCCCTTTGAAAATCCATTTTTAAGTTTGTCTTCTTTTAGTTTTTAATGACCATTTTACCCTTATTTAAAACAAAATTAGGTCCACAAAATACAAAATATTTTTTAGCGGGAAAAGTGATCCCGCAATTTTCCCGCCAAAACACTTGTAAAAACCTTTAAAATACCTTGTAAAATTTTCCCATAAAAATTTTTCCCGCCAAACAAATTTTTTTGCGGGAAAAGTGATTCCGCAATTTTTTTGGCGGAAAAAATTTACAAGGTATTTTAAAGGTTTTACGGAGTATTTACAAGTGTTTTGTAAGGTTTACAATGTATTTTAAAAGGTTTTACAAGGTACTTATAAGGTTTTATAACGTATTTATAACATTGTAAAACCGTTATAAAAAACTATGTAAAACTCTTATAACTTGTAAAACCTTATAAATAGCTTG